TAAATGCAAAAATGGAGTTTTAGAAAATATCCACCCTAGCAGGCGTTTTTAAAAAATCTCCGTTTTCAGTGACCGAAAACGCAGTTTACGTGTGAACAAAAGGTGCAAACGCATAGAAAAATCTGCGTTTTCAAAAATACCCGGGTACATGTGGACGTAGCCTCAGACTGTCCTAAAAACTCACTGAAAAACCTTTGACCCAAAACACCTGAGAGTACTGACAGGGACATAGCTCTCCTGTACTGGCTTCACTTCACTGGATCCTGTTAAATTTAAAGTCCTTGTCCTCACACACAAGGTCTTGAATAATCAGGCACCATGTTTTCTTAAAGACCTCATAGTAGCGTATAAGCCGAATAGAGCACTCTGCTCTCAGTCTGATGGTTTACGAGGGCTTCCTGAGATATTTCAAAGTAAAAATGTAGAGTCTTCACCTTTCAGGACACTCTTCTGTGGAACCAGCTCCCAGTTTGAATTCAGGAGATAGACACCCTTTCCTTTTCAAATTAGATTTAAACGTTCCTTTTTGACAAAGCATAGTAGTTCATATATATAGTGACTGTTTGTTGGGTCAGGTGAACATGAAATCTCTCTTAGTTGTGCCCCAGAAAGTTGATTCTGTTCATCTGGACTTGGGGAGAAACATTTCATCTACATGACTTCTTCAGGGATCAAGAAACAGACCTACAGGCCACTGTTCGCCAGTGCTGCTGGTTTCAGTCATTGTGCAAATGCATTGTTTATAAGGTTGATTAAACCTGCAGTCAGCTGAGACTGAAGAAGTCAGTTGGATCAATGACGAAACGTTTCTCCCACTGAAAACGCTACGTCCAGATAAAGAGAATCAACTTTTGGGGATTTCCTGGATATTTATAATCCACTTTGCATTTCATTAGTTATTACTGATTTCTGGCTCTCTTCCACAGCATGTCTGTTCTTCTGTCAGGAAGGGCAGTGGCTGTCCCTCCATGAGCCCAGTTCTGCCGGAGGTTATCGTCTTGTGTTTGCTCATATGACATCATCTGCTCATTGGGTTTATTAGGGTCTCTACCTTAAACTATAAAGCCCTCGAGGCCTTATATTGAACTGTATTAACTCACATTAAGCATCACAATCATTTCATGTTTCCCATTTGAGCATCACTATCATTGGCTATACCATCATTCCAATAGCAAAACTGCCATTTTCATTCTGTGATTTTCAGTGAAAAAGTATTTGCCCCTTTCCTTCTGTTAGGATCTGCCCAGCTGACTCTGCAATCCGTTGCGGCGTGAAAGAGAGACGATTGAGAAGTTTATTCATGAGACGTATATCCAGCCCCACCTCATCTCTAGTGGGCGTAGGGTTGTTCTTTGTGGACAAAAAAGATAGGACTCTCAGGCCATTTATGGACTTCCTTAGATCACTGTAAAAAGAAAAGAAATACCCGCTGCCAGTAAACAGTTCTGCTTTCTCTCCATCTTTACAAAGTTGACCTCAGTACCATTTAGTCAGAGTCCCAGAATTCAACACACCGCTGGACTACTTTGAGTACCTGGTGGTGCTTGTTGGTCTAACGAAACACTCCCCCACCATGTTTCATGTCCTAGTAACTGATGTCCTCGGACACTTTCTGAACATCTTTGTATTCAGCTGCTGCAGTTAACTGTGTTTCACACACCCTCAGTAACTTTTCTAAGTTGTGTTTTCAGAGGACTTAGAGGGGGTCGAGCAACATTTTGTAATATGGACTAACCATAGGAACTTAACTTATGTGCACAACACCAAAGGCAGAATTCAGGTATGTTGGTCTCTGCTCTTTGGTTGTTCAACTGCTCCGTTTCTTATCATCCAGGGTCGAGGAATATAAAGCCTGATGCCCCTTCCCATGAGTTTTCACCTGATAGAGATGATCTTAAGCCGGAGAGCGCTCTTGCATGCTCATACACAGTGGGGAGGATAATCCTGGGAGTTTAAGCTGGATCCCTGTCACAGGCCTTCTTCCATAGATTCTCCAAATCAGGACATTTCATAGTTCCTTCTCTAAATTATCAAACTCCTGCCACTGAAACGTTTCATCTCCATCTTCAACATGTTTTCAGGCTCAATGACATTCCTTTGGAGATTGTGTCAGACCGACAACCCGTTTCATATCCCAGTTATGGAAGGTTTTCCATTCACCTCTCGGAGCCAACCTGCGTTCCTGATTTCATCAAAAGACTAACGGACTAACAGAAAGATTAAACCAAGAGTGGAAGGCAGACCTCGGCTGTGTTGGCTCAAGTAATGGACGGATGGATTGTGCGCATAAGTCACTTACCTCATCTGCAACAGGTCCATTCAAAGTGCCTCTAGGTTACAAGCCTCGCATGTTTGTGGGCACAGACAAGAGCCTTCTCCACACAAATGAACAGAAAGGACGCCTCGCTACTGCTACTCCCACGGTGAGAGAAGGGTGGTTCTCCTGAAATCTCTTTCTAGGACTCTCCGCTGTAAAACTAAAATTTCTCTAGGATACACTGAACTTTTCACATGTCGCAGTTCCAGTCCACTGTGCTCTCCACCCAACTGCGTACCTCCTGCCAGCTTGTATTCGGCTACAGCCTGCACACAGTGTTTGATGGATTGTGGATGTCTGGCACCGGGAGCATCAGTAGTTGATCGGGAGGAGTATGGTCCTGTTTAAAACTGCAATCCAATCAGTTTCACACTCTGCTTATACATGAATACCCTCCAGTGTGGCTGAAAATACTTCTGAAAAGAAGAACGGAGCAAACTTTCTCCACAGTCTGTGAAAGACTGAATGCAAGATGTTGCTAAAGATGCTGATAAGGGTGGTAAAGCAGTTATTAGGCTTACGGGGCAAATACTTTTTCACACAGGGCCAGTAAGCTTGGATGGATTTTTCCCTTAAATAAAATAATTATTTAAAAACTGAAAGTTGTGTCTCCTTTGGTTATCTTTGTCTAATATTTACAATTCCTTAATGATCTGAAACATGTGACAAATAAGCACAAAACTAAGTAACCAGGTAAAGAGCAAATACGTTTTACAGCAGTGTAGAGCAAAGGCCGTTACAAACGAAATTCATAATTTTCAGGATCTGAACTTGTCATGTACAAACCGAACATGTTTTTGTGAAAATTATCTCCTCAAAGAAAGCAGTGTGAAGAAAAGTCAATATGAAGCCGTAATGAGCTGGTACTGATGTTTCCAAACGAGAAGGAATCAGTTCATCCAAAACTCACAAGAAGGAAGCAACAGGGAGAATTTCAAGGTTTCTTTCAGGAATTGAAGCTGTATCGTGGCCACTTTCTTACTTACTTACAGGATCTTACTGGGGCTGTTGCAGCTTTTTAGCTACAGAGTTTTGCCTCTGAGGAGGCAGTGAAATCACTTCAGACACAGAGCAGCAGCTCCTTGTCTCAGGTAAAATTGTATTATTCTACAATTGGTATATTCAGTACTGGTGTGCACGTTGAGTCATGTGTGCACTCGGTCAGATCTGTTGATTAGGATCAGAGAAAATGATCAGACTACATGGTCAGTGTCGACGGCTGCTCAGGTGACGCTATTTAGTTGACTCTAAATATTTTTAATGTGCACAGATGTTACACATCTGGTGTGTAAATGCCTGAACAATAGGTTTTATGATGTGCAGATGGGTTTCTTTATTCTCAGCATCTAGATCTCCTGCAAGGTGGCACACATTGTTGTGGTTGTATTTGTATTCAGTGTATTCAGTGGTTGTATTTTCCTCATCAACAAAGGCTAGGGGTCCTGTGACTGTCTTACTGAATTCAAAATGTTCTGTCTACCTTCTTAGGTTGTAGTCAAAATCCTCGGCTGAAACACAAAACTGAGTGATGAAAACAGTCAAGGAGAAATAATTTTAATGGAATCAGTTTTCAGGCCCCTCTTCTGTGGAACCAGCTTCCAGTTTGGATTCAGGAGACTGACACTATCTCTACTTTTAAGATTAGGCTTCAAACTTTCCTTTTTGCTAAAGCATATAGGGCTGGATCAGGTGACCCTGAATCCTCCCTTAGTTATGCTGCAATAGACGTAGGCTGCCGGGGATTCCCATGATGCATTGAGTTTTTCCTTTCCAGTCACCTTTCTCACTCACTATGTGTTAACAGACCTCTCTATTTCTGGCTCTCTTCCACAGCATGTCTTTATCCTGTCTTCCTTCTCTCACCCCAACCAATCACAGCAGATGGCCGCCCCTCCCTGAGCCTGGTTCTGCTGGAGGTTTCTTCCTGTTAAAAGGGAGTTTTTCCTTCCCACTGTCGCCAAAGTGCTGCTCATAGGGGGTCATATGATTGTTGGGTTTTTCTCTGCATGTATTATTGTAGGGTCTGCCTCACAATATAAAGCGCCTTGAGGTGACTGTTGTTGTGATTTTGTGCTGTATAAATAAAACTGAATTGAATTAAATTGGAGGAACAATCAAACACAGAGCTTGTTTGCCACAGTTTGTCCAATAGCCTGCCTACATCTTCATGCCTATGTGGCAATTCTTTTTCCAGATCCATAAAGTCTTGCATTGGATTTTCACACCTCAAAATTATGTTCCCATCTGGACTGACTGGGAAAAACTTCACATCATGATTATGAGCTTTTTTCATCCTCCTTATCAAGACTTGGTGTGGTGCTCATGACATTGGAAAAAAGGTCATCATCATAATTATCTGTGATAGAAAATGTAAATTCTGGAATTTTACAATGAATTTTATTCCACATATTCACATTTATATTAGTTGTCCCACTATCACGTTTAGTGTTGTTCAGACGTTTTGCTCAAACTGCAAATCTATGACATCACTGGTCAGTTACAGTTATTGTCTTAGAACAAATAATTAGATGTTGCTAGTTGAGCCATGTGCTTCAAAGTCAAGATTCAAAACCAATGAACCATCATATGAATTCACAGCCTCACAGCAACAAAAAAGTGTTTTGTGTGCGGTCCATGGTGAGAGTTCACCGTGGACCGCACTCTTTCTCCACTGATGTCTTACCGTCAGAGCGGTGGATGCAGGTATGCTGGTTGTCACTGAGGAAGAAGCCCTCTGTGCACATGCACTCATAGCTCCCCATAGTGTTAACACACACTTGCTGGCATCCACCGTTGTTGTCCAGACACTCATCCACATCTGTTTGGATGGAGACATACAGAGAGAGAGAGACATAAAGGGAAGTGAGCAAGATAAAGTCGGTCACGGCAGCGTGCTGGAATAACAGCCCATTAGACTTCATAAATAAACTTGTGTCAGTGAGAGTTTATGTGCCGGGAAACGTCTGATGAGACGGATGACACCAGAGTCAGGAATGCGAGGGCCACACGCACACACACGTGCACACACACGCACACACACGTGCACACACACGTGCACACACAGACTGGGAGAAAGGGCAGGCACGCTGTCCTAAGGGGCCGACCCTGGCACAGCGGGCGGCCGAACCAAACTTCAGGCACTGTAAAAGGGGGTGACAGGGGTGTGTTGGTGTTGGTGTCTGCATTGTGTCGTTGCGTCTATATGCGTGTTAGTGCACACTGGTGGTGCACGAGTGTGTTTATAGGGCCCGACTGTGCTGCTGAAAGGCCAGTAAATTTCCAATGGGGCATGTTGATGGGCCTGAAGTGAACTGGAAACATGTAACACCCTTGACTGACTTTAAGAGGGATCAAACAGGGCCACCC